ATATATATATATATATATATATATATATATATATATATATATATATATATATATATAAAATTCATGTATTATATGAGTATAATAAGTATATAATAAATGCATAATTCATATACAGTCAATCATCTCTATAATATCCTCATTTGTTCCGCTATTTTTTTAATTTTTATAGTGAATGACTGTTATACACATATATCAACATTTGACATTTAAACATTTTTTAGATGCTATAGATAACAATTATCCAAAAATTAATTATTTTTCTTTTTTAATGTTACATATAAAAGATAAGAAAATTATTTAAATTTAAAATCTCAAAAGATATGCATATTTTACTAATTAAATATTTAAAAAAGCTAATACATTATCAATAAATTCATAACTAAACGTATAAAGAATTAAACTCTAAAGCAAATATTTTAAAGTTACCTAGAAAAATAAATTCTTTCAAGATTGATGGAAGCATTTTATAATTGTAGCTTGTTTCCTAAATTTTATTATATTATTAGCAATATAACGCTTGAATTGGCGAAGGCCCGTGTCCAAATTTTTATCAAAAAATATTCAATAATTTTTCCTTGAAGAAAATCTAAAAGCTTAATAGTTAAATTTTCTATCTAAATATTTTTGAAATTTGTCCAATGAACAAGATATCATGTGCAAATCTTATATCTTATGCAATATAGAAATTTTGTTTAATGTAATAGATTGTGTGTATAATTTTAGAGTTATTATTAGTAATTTTAAAGATTCCATATGGCTGTTATAAAGAGGTAATTTTATAAAGAGTGTTCTGCTATAAATATGGATGTTGCTGTTATAGGTAAAAAGTTGTTATAGAGAGGTAAAATATAACTTTAAAAATCGATTTTAAGAAAAATTTGACTTTTATACTGAATGATCGTTATATAGGGATATTATTATATTGAGATTTGACCGTAACTCTACATTGGCAAAGAGTTCATTGCTTTTGGTTCATGTCTTCTTGCTTTTCCTTAACATGATTGATGGATGTGGTGCCTTTGAGCACAAACAACTTTGTTTGGAAGACTTCTTAGTTGTCAAAATGAGGAGATGGCGTAACCTTATCTTTCAACAAGAAGAACCACATAAATTACGTGATTCTTTTTTTTTTTCTCTCTTAACATTTCAAGTAAAAATAATAGTATAGTTAAATTTCTCTATAACAATTATTTTTTATAATAATACTTTATTATAATAGCCAAATTTTTTTTGAAACCAATTTTTCTAGTTACGTTATAATATATATTTTCTATAATAGTAGTATTTTACTGTAAAAGTTAAAAAAATTCAAAACAAAAGAAATTATATTGTTATAAAGAAATTTGCCGGTAGACAAGATAGTACAAAAAGTTAAAGTGGATAATAATGGTTAAAAGCATATTATAATTCGAACTCTCGTCTCTCTAGAAACTGATATATTTGGAATAAAACCAAGCTATTTTAGAGTGCATGTTTCCGATTGCAGTGTACTCCCATGGTCACACGATATTTCAATTGTAATCGTTATATTTCCATAAATAAAAGTGATGAATTTGGGGAATCAAGTAAGCAAACAGGGGTTTGAAAGTCCAGAGTATCTTATAAATCTATTTGTAATCATTTTTATTTACTTTAGTAATTGTGAATTATGTACACCAGCATGCTTCTAGTGTTTGATTCGGTACGGGTTTTCAAACATAAATAAAAACTCTTAAATTTTGTAGTGTAAAACAAATCATAAATATTTATGTGGCTATAAATTATTTTATTAAGAATAAAGTAAAAAATTTAAAGTAGAATTATTTCTAAATAAGGAAGTACGACATTCTTTTAGGACAAACTAAAAAGGAAAGTATGACACATAAATTAGGACGGAGTGAGTATAAGTTTTGGTTTGTGTATATTGATAAATTCTGAAATTCTTAGAGAGGTATGTGTTGGGTTTAAGCCTCTTAGAGCTTAAAAGAGGATGAATGAGAAATTGAGGGAAAAATGAAAATTTAATTTTCCCTCATTGACAAAGGGACATTGTCCCATATTAGAGGAGAAAAAGACTTTTGATGAGTATATATACAATTATTTTTCTTCTAGCACTTAAAGAGTTGAGAAGAAGGCAAGCCTCGTGTTGTTGTCGTCGTCGTCGTCGCTCGGCTCGGCTTCGGCTTCGGCCAAATGATTGATTGATTAATTTTTTGGATCAAATTTATTTGTTAATATTAACACAATATTAATTAATCCAAATTAGACCGTTACTGTAATAGTAATTCAATTTTCCTCCGTTTTAATTTTCCCGTTATAATTTGAATTTGGCGGTTTGCATAAATGGCCGTTTTATAAAACAACCATTTTGAGTTGCAACCTTACCTAAAGAGTAGTAACTGTTCAGTATAACCAACGCTTTTGGCTATAAATATATGAACTCTCCTTCAGATTTTTCTTACGAAAATTCTGATTTCTCTTTATTCTTTCTGCATAGCAGTAATTGTGATTTACTACTGCTCTTTTAGTTCATTGATCACTCGGATGTGAAGTACCGCTACACCAGTGAGATTATCCGTTCTATCCTGAGAGAAAATAATCCTAAATCTCGGGTAATAGGAAGGGATTAAGTTCTTTAGGGAAACACTGTGAATTTAGTGGACTCGGATTCATTTTCTGTTCTTCTACATTTCTGATTTTTTCCATTGCTACTGATTTTGAATATATTTTCGAATACAGATTTTATAACAGTATGTACTCTCAATATTGTGACTTTCTAGCACAAATCGGATTTAGTCAGACTCTAATATAAATATCGGACATCATGATACAAGTTCTTGTTTTTTGGATAAATTATAAATTTCTGAAATTGTGCACCTCTCTGGAATAACCCTTCCGTATTGAGCTTTTATACGCGCTATGGAAAGTTTAGGAGTAGTTAGTTCCTCTCCCCAAATTTACTCCATAATCATAATATTTACTTTTTACGTCGTCACCCGAAGTTGAAAACACTTTTTAATCATCGAAATGAAAAGGATTTATCTTATATTGTTAGAGCTTTATAATTTGTACTAATAGACATAAAATAAAAGGATCTAATTTTCTAAAGATAAAAAGGACAAAAGAAGTGGCATAACTGTCAGCTCGTGGCTACTTGTACCTGTAAAAATTTTAGTATTCAATTTTTATATCAAATCAATAAAGGTAAAATAATTGATTTTCATACAATATTTTTTAATAAGGAAAAAAAAATGTAATGTATAAAAGACACTTATCTTGATTCTTGAATAGTATGATATTATTAATTAAAATTAATTGATTTGATGTAAATACCGATAAATATTTACCATCTTTTGAAAATATAAAGTAATACTTCCTCGATTCCTTCGGTCACTTTTATATGTCACTTTAATCAAAGAAAATTAGTTAAAAACATTTGACGATTTAAAAACTAAGAAAGGATTTATTTATTTATTTTCAATTCCGTCTTTATTACTACTTCAAAAAGTGTAGCCATTAATTATTCATTTAAGGAATGGATGAAAGTAATTTGATCAAAGATTCCTTATAATTAATACTATGACATAATATTAAATGACAGATTATAAAGCACAAGAGTTAAGTAGAATAAAAACAGTACTAAAACACCCATTAATGTTATTAAATTAATCCAAAGTGGTATGCCCTTTTCTTAGTGTGATATACTCTCCATCTCAAATTATCTGTCGTGGTTTCTAAAAATAATTGTCTCAAATTATTTTTCATTTTAGAAATTCAAGACTAAATTAATTATCTTTTTCCTATTCTACCTTAATATTAATTGTTCTTGAAAACTACAAATACTTCAATGAAGAGATGATATCTTAATACGTAAATAAGGGTAAAACTGTAAAAAATCTCATATTTAATATTCTCTTCGGTCCACTTTAGGTAATTTTTTGGCTCTTTTCACACATATTAAAGAATATACCTTTTAGTATTAATTGATAATAAAATTGAGCATATTAACCTTAATTTACTCATTGAAAATATAATAAACTACTCATAGACTCTTTACTCTAAGGACAACTTTGGAAAGAATAAATTTATTTTTTCTTGATATCTAAAAAAATTTAAATATTATGGATCAATAAAAAAAGACTAAAAAAAATTACTTAAAGTGGATCAGAAAAAATATTTTCTTAATAGGCATATAAAAAAGAAATACGTCGATAATTTGAGACGGAGTAAGTATACTACTTAATTAAAAGCTAATTCTTGGTTCTTCTCATTTCCTATCTCACACTTATCTGTCAGCTCCAGTTTCAATGGGAGAAAAGAAAGAGAAAGAGAAAGAGAAAGAAAAAAAGAACAGTAAGAAGCAAAAACACCAACACCCAAATGAACAAACCCCAAAATCCTCTTCAGATTTCACCTTTAAACCCATCTCCGATGTAAAAGGTCTCCGATTCGGCGGTCAATTCATCGTTAAATCCTTCACAATCCGCCGTGCACGGCCGTTAGAACTCTTAAAACTCCTCTCTCTTCAACCAACAACCAAAAATTTCACTTCAACCACAGCATTTTTACCTACAAATTTCACAATCTTAGCACATCACGCATGGCATACACTCACATTAGGCCTCGGTACGAAGAAATCGAAAGTGGTTTTATTCGTTTTTGAGTCGGAAAACATGAAAATTGGTATAGACCGTGTTTGGCCAATGGAAATTCCGTTAGGGGAAGTGAATAAGAAGTTGATTAGAGGGTTAAATGGTTGTGAAATGGCGAGGTTTAAGTTCAGAAAAGGGTGTATTACTTTCTATGTTTATGCTGTTAGAAGAGTTGGAAATTTAGGGTTTAATTGTGCTGAGGATCTGAGATTGATTTTGCAATCAGTGGTAGAACTTAAAGATTTCTTTGATCATACTGCTATGTTAGCTATGCCAAATCAGAGAAGCATCAATTATACAGCTGAAGTTCAACAAATGGGAATGGCTCATTAGCCCAAGTCTGTTCTCACCATCATTTCTTAATTTTTTTTTTTTTCATCTTTTTTATAATTTTGGTGTTTTCAATTTGTGTATATTTTGGTTATTTCATTCTCAACTATTTTAATGAGTGTTTGTTACCTTTCATTAGCACATATATCGATTTATCATTCTCAACTATTATGATTCCTTCTATTTGTTACCTAGAGCTACGGAGCTCGGGTAAAAGGTACATTTGAATTTCCTTCGCAGAAAGACTATATGTATGTATAAAGACTAATTTATTTTTTAGGTATATATATATATATATATATATATATATATATATATATATATATATATATATATATATATATATAGAAGATGTTGAATTCGTGGATAGCAGAAATTGTTGTGTTTATGCATTATGCTTGTCTTGAGCTGGCAGTCTATTGGAAATACCCTTTCCGACTGCACAAACTAGGTAAGATCTATTGGTATACTGAATATATTGTTGTTGAATTCGTGTACAAAATCTATGAGTTTATATTTTCTTATATTTTAAATCAAAAAAATTCTGGTTCCGCCAACGGAAATTACCACCGGCACATATACAT